CCTATAGCTGAAATAAGGCTGACTGTATGTTGATGATGGTTGCAGAAGAATAGTAGGTTTCAGAAGGGTTCAATTTCCTGTATTTTACATATGTTTGGATTTTTTACTAGTTCAGATACTAGGACATAGCGTGCCAGTCCTGAAGTGAATGGCCATCTAGGGAAGGACTTTAGGACAACAGCACTACCACCTACAGCCACAAGCTGGCTCTAAAACTCAAAAGTGGCTTCTCTCTAGGGCAGACTTCCATAATCCAAAGTTGTGGAAAATGACAGGACAGGCTTGCAATTATTTCACATCATGAAATGCGACTGCCTAGCTTTTGCTATCTAGTAGTCCCTTAGGCAGAAAGCCTAATATAGGCAGAATGCCCCCAGGCTCCAGCTTCTGGAACCCAAAATCTAACAGTCATCGTTAACCTCTTCTTACCTACCCCCACTGCCATGCCTAGACCTTCATCTTGTAAATATCTTTTGATTTCACCTACTTTGCTCTACTTTCTTCAGAGGGTCCACCTGGTGCAAACCCCAACTGTCCCTTCTAGACAATTCTGTGTCTTCCTCATTTACCTTCAGAATAAAATCCATTCTGGATATATCAACCAGAGCCATCTTCTGGAATGCAAATCTGACCATGGCCCTCCCTGTAGCTATAAGACCAGACACCATCTGTTTTGCTTTTGTTTTTTCTTTTCTTTTTTTGGAGACAGGGTCTCACTATGTAGTTCAGGCTGCCTTGAACTCACTGTGTAGCCCAGGGTGGCCTCCAACTCACAGTGATCCTTCTGCCTCTGCCTCCTGTGTGCTGGGATTACAGGTGTGAGCCACCAGTGCGGGCTAAGACCTGATAGCATCTGGCTCTTTGTCTCTCCAACCTTACTCTGCTCTTCACCTTCCATCCCTGGGCTTCAGAAACATTGGGTTCCTTTCTACTCATCAGTACACTGGGGTTATTCCCACCCCCTTATGCACCCTCTTCCGTCTCCCTGGAGTGCTCTTTCCACAGTTCTTCACATGCCTGATTCTTTCACTTTGTTCTATTCAGGGATCCTGGAAAATCTTGTAAAAGCAGGTCCCGGATTTTCCTCAGTGTTGCCCTATGACACAGCTTCCTTCATCTGGGAACAACCAGACTTGACAAACTATCACAGTGGGAGCTCGGCTTGGGTTTTCTATTCCAAGGAGAAAATGTATGTAAGTTACAGGCAGAGAGAAGAAAAACATGAATTCTCCATGTATTTTATGTATGGCTTGTGGCGTGCTTGCTAAACTATTAATGTCTGTTTTGGGGTGTACAGGACACTTATCTCTCACTGTAACATAGATGTCATCCCTCTTGCTTTTTTTCTTTCTTTTGTTTTTTGTGGGGGTTTTTTGATATGGGGGATCAAACTCGGGACCTTGCGCTTATGAGGCAGGTGGTGGAACCACTGAGCTAAATCCCTGGCCCCCCCTTTTTTTTCTTTTGATACAGGGTCTTATTATGTAGTTCACACTGGCCTTGAACTCACAATGATACTCCTGCCTCAGCTCCCAAGTGCAGGGATCACAGGCATGTGCCACCATGGCTAGCCAACTCTTGCTTGTTTTGCGGTCTAATGACAATGAAGGTCACTTCAAAGGTGAAAAGCAGTTGTATCCATTGTACTTGTGGTTTTGCTTGTTCATCCTGAGATGGGGGAAGCTTGAAAATTTTTTAGAACTGTGAAAAGCCCCAATAGTCAAGACAAGAACCTTCTTTACACTGAAGCTAAGAAAATGGTGTGGGTAATATTTGGTCATCATCCATATCATTTGAATAGAAAACAAAGGGACTTTGTTAAACTTCCCTCTTTCAAAAACTAATTCCTAGCCAGGTGCGGTGGTGCAATCCTGTAATTCCAGCACTCTGGAGGCTGAGGCAGAATCATGAAAGCCCAGAGGCAAGTCAGGGCTACATAGTGAGTTTGAGGCTAGCCTGAACTACATAGCAAGACCTCCTCTCAGAAAAACAAAGAAAAACAAAACAAAACAAAAAAACCAAGCAAACAAAAACTAATTCCTCAGTAAAGACTAAATGATCATAATTTTTATTTCATGAGGATAAAAGATAATTTTAGAGATCACATTGCCTCTACTTTTTGACTCCATTATAAAAGCTTTGTGCTGTTTTCTGTCTTGTTTTGTTTTTAGGGCAAGTTCTCAGTTGTAGTTCAAGTTGGCCTTGAACTCACTATGTAGCCCAGGCAGGTCTCAAACTCTTGGCAATCCTCCCGTTTCAGCTGCCTGAATTCTGGAATTATAGGTGTGCGCCACCATGCCTGGCTCATGCTGCCTTCTGAAGAGGTGGTTTTATATGAGAAGAGCATTAAATAGTTTCAATATATGGGGACTGAGAGTGTAGCTCAGTGGTAGAACATTTCCCTAGCATATGTGAGGCTCTGGATTAGATCCCCAGCACCACAAAACAAAAAAAGTTTCAAAAATACAATATAGTATGCATAGGAGTGCAATGTATAGGGGTGGTAGAAATGACTTTCGTTTTACAATGCTGCTTCCTGTCTCAATGATAATACTTGAAAGGAGGCTGGGGGCACAGCTCAGTAGTAGAATATGAAACATGCAAGGCTGTGGGCTCAACCTCCAGCACCAAAAGGGGAAATAAAAGACTTCCAAAAGTTTCAAAAACATTTTTAAAAAGTAATTCAATTTACAGAAAAGCTGTAAAAATAATTCAAAGAATTTCATTTTGCTTTCACCCAGATCATGCATGTTTTCATCATCTTTCTATATAAAAACGGAATATATTTTTTCTGAATCATTTGACAGCAAGCTGCAGAAATACTGTACTGCCCTTTTCTCCTAAGTATTTTAGTGTATATTTTCTAAGAGGATTATTTTACCTAATACTAGCACGATTATCAAAAGTCAGGAAGTAGGGGCCAGGGATTTAGCTCAGTGGTTCCATGGCCTGCCTTGAAAGCTCAAGAACCTGAGTTCGATCCCCGGTCCCCCCCCCCCCCTCAAAAAAAAATCAGGAAGTTGAGGTGGGGATATGACTCCATGGTACAGCATTTGCCTAGAATGTGCAAGTCCCTGGGTTTGATTCTCATCACCACAAAGAATAATAAGTAGAAATTCAGGCAATTAATACTGATGCAATCTAAGCCACAAATTTTATTCAAATTTTACCAACTATCTTTTATAATAATTTTTTTTTTTTTGGCCCACGTTAAAGTTGTCAACTTTGTCACTTCTCTTTAGTCTTTCTTAATTTGGAAGAGCTCCTCAGTCTTTGTCTTTCATGACCTTGACCTAAAAGATTTCACTTTCTTTGAGTTCTGAATTTTTTCACCTGCTGGTCTATAGAACAAGAAAATCCAGCCAGGCAGGTGTGGTGGTGGCCACCTATTATCTCAGCACTTGGGAGGCTGATGTAGAAGCATTTTGACTCCAAGGCCAATTTGGTCTACATAGTGAGACCCTGTCTCAAAAAACAAAAAACAAGAAAAGTCAGATGTGGTGGTGCATGGCTGTAATCTCAGCATTGGAACGTTGAGGCAGGAGGATCACCCTGAGTTTGAGGCCTGCCTGGGCTACATAGATAGATACTGTTTAAAATAATTTTTTTTAAAGGGCCAGGGATTTAGCTCATTGGTCCCACTGCCTTGCAAGTGCAAGGTCCTGAGTTTAATCCGGGAAACAACAATGTATTTCCTTTCATTTTAGCCAAATTCTCTAAAACGAAGTTTTAAGGATGAATGGCCCATTTTCAAAGAGCCTTTTCCTTGACCATATTACTTTAGTGTTTCCCTTTAAAACTTTTTATTTATAGCACCAATTACCTTGCAGGCTTGTTATTTGCTTTCTTATTTGTCGAGATCTTGGTGCCTAGAATATAAATTGGAGGACAGTAGAAACTTTTGCTACCAAATATTCTCCCAGAGCCCAGGACAGTGCCTGACCCTTACTAGATGGTCAATAAATATCTGTCCAATGAATGAATGAATGAGAAATGCCTCTTGGGCTTGACATTTAGACAGGCTTAAAGGCACAGAGCTGAGGAGTGGGTAGGAGAGATTGTTCTCCTGGGAAAACGTCTGCAGGTCCCTTGAGGATGATGCTTGACTGTGCAATGAACGTGGCGAGAATCTGTAGAGATTCTCGCTGAGGCCCAGAGGTCAGTCAGGTCGCTGGTAGTAAAACGCAATGTTGAGGGCCCAGGACCTCAAAGCAATAACGAAATCAGATTTGGGTCTGGACCCTAGCCAACTGCAACCCTCCTAGGCACGCAGACTATTCCATTCCTTCCCTCTACTCCTACCCGCTTTACTTTCCGGCCCTGGTGATCCATTCCGCACCCCAAAGTCGAATTTCACCCACACCCTACTTCCAGGGAACTAGCTGTTTTCTGCACTCTGGAAATCCCTCACCAAACAGACAATTTCTTTGTAAATAATCAGTCTGCCGCCAGGAAGGTTCAGATCTGGAATACCCCAATGAAGCGCTTCGGAAAACATGTGGCTGTCAGATAACCTAGGGACACTCGCCTCTCCACCTTCGGTTCCCTTATCTCCTTGTGCCAAGGCAGTGAGAAGCTAAAAGTATGCAAAAGACGGGAAAAGGAGAGTCCCAGTCTTGGACCTGGGGGCGATCTAAGCCGGCGTGGAGGTGGCAATGGTCTCGGGTGACTAAGTGAGAAGAGTCCTCCTGGACAACACCTGGGCTGCGCGGTTCCCGGTGGGGGTAGCCAGGTAGAGGCCGTGATGCTCCCGGCCAGGGTAGTGTGGGTTTCTGCTCGCCAACCCCGCCTGGACAGTTTCGGCGGTGCGGTACTTGCCGCACACTCTTAGTCGCTGACAGCCCTGCGGGCACAGAGAAGTAGCCTCAACTCAGATCCCGCCCAACTCTGGCTGGAAATACCTCCGGTGGACTAGGGCTGTCCCGGAAACGTTTAGCGTTTTGAGAACATACTGTTCTCGCGTGATTTCGGAGGAGGAGTAGCCCCTAGGTACGTAGTTATCAAGGGAACTGGGCGGTGCCTGGGCGAGCGGGAAGGAGTGCGAGAAGGGTGTTTGCCAGTCTGCAGAGACTTCAAGCGTAAACCTCGTTGAACTTCCAGATCACTGCCCCTGTTCCACACGGTGCCCCTGTACCCGAAGGCCATGGGTCGGATCTCGGGCCTTGTGCCCTCTCGCTTTCTGACGCTCCTGGCGCACCTGGTAGTCGTTATCACCTTATTCTGGTCCCGGGTAAGACGCACCGATCCCCGCCAGCGGCTGGCTTTTCCACCTCTTTGAAATCCCAGGGTAACCCCACCCCTCCCCCAGGTTTTATCCCCTCGGGTCCTCTCATTCCGGGTCGCCCCTAGCCATGCCCTACAGCCCTCTCCTCTTTTACTTCTTTTTCTTTCTGCCCTGTTCCCCAGGACAGCAACATCCTGGCTTGCCTGCCTCTCAGGTTCACCCCTGAGGAGTATAAGAAGCAAGACATTCTGTGAGCTCTTGGGGCAGAGGGTTTGAACGAGGAGGTGGTGGGAAGGAAGGGTCTTCCAAATCCAGAGAGCCTGATCCAATCCCTTTCTTCTCTGCAGGCTGTTAACAGCACTTTCTGTCACCCTGGGCCTCTTTGCAGTGGAGCTGGCCGGTTTCCTCTCAGGAGTTTCCATGTTCAACAGCACTCAGAGTCTCATCTGTATCCTTCCTGCCTGTCTACCTTTCCCGCACCACCTATTTGCATCATGACTCCCTTCAGCCATTCAACTAGTCCTTTCTGGCACAAAGTCTCTGTCCTAGCCGGCAAACAAAATCAGTTCAGAGATCTCAGGCAGTGTGGGGGATTTAATACAATCTTCAGACATTTAAACCCTGCTAGGCACTGGGCACTGGAGACACCCAGATGTCTTCAAAACAGCTTTCTCCTTTGAGGACCAAGCAGACACAGACACACATTATCCATAAGTCAATCTGATAAACACCATGCTATAAGAGTGTGTAAAAATATAAAGCACTATGAGAACTCAAGAGAGACTAAGGAGGTGAGGCACATAGATCAGAGAAGGCTTCTAAATTTTGAGTTGGGGACTAGGAGAACCAGGGCACCAGAGTGTGATTCCAGCAGAGTGTATTAAGTCTCTGTCTGCGTTCCTGTGTGGCCTGGGGTAGGTGAGGAGGCTACCTTGCTTCACCCCAAGGGTCCAGTATGGCCCTTGGATATGGGGGGAGGCCCATCTGAACCAGCTCAGCTCTGGCTTCTACTCACATGATTGTCCTAAAACTCAGATGACAAGGCTGCTGCTGATTCTGGCCCTTGCAGTATGGTGAGAGGGCAAAAGACAAGCCAGATGCCAACCCTACCACTGGTCTTTTCAGGCCCATCATTACTTGTGGATCCAAAGACTTTCCTTCACTCTGGTATGTTTCAAGCCATCGGGGCTCACTGTAGTGCTTCTGTGGCCCTATCCTTCTTCATATTCGAGCGCTGGGAGTGTACTACGTACTGGTACATTTTTGCCTTCTGCAGGTGCGGTAGCACTCATTATCTGGGAATGGGGAGGGAAGGTTTACCCCAAATCTGAAGGTTTCCCCATCCAGCCCTTTTTCCCTCCGTGTGTGAGATACCAGATCTCCCCTCATCGCACTTCCCTGTACTCTAGAGTTGGGGGTCTCTAGTCTGGAAATTTGGGTATTTATATTGGAAGAGGCTCTGAATCCATCACCTACCTCCCACAGTGCCCTCCCAGCTGTCACTGAAATGGCATTATTCGTCGCTGTTTTGGGGCTGAAAAAGAAACCTTTCTGATCATCTTCATGGGAGGAAGGTAGGGACGAAGACTGGAGGAACCAGGGGCCACTTACTGTTCTGGAAGAAGGAAGGCATAGGCTTCGATCTTCGCCCATTTGTTCTCCACCCCCGTCCTGGCTCGAGACTGCTTGTGGTAGAGGGTGGTGTTCTTGGGGTGATTATCTCTTGAATTTGGGATTAGCGTTTTACTTAAGTTTTATAATAAAATATATTTTATAGTAAGAACAAGCCTTACACTTTCACGAGACAATTAGGGTGACCAAACTGCTGGAGAAAAGAAAGACTGTTTTGCGGCTCTCCCGACCGTAAAATAATCTGTATCGCTTCTATTTTGATTTTTCCGTAGATGGCGGTGGAAGAAAGTGGGCGGGGATATGTAAATAAGGCTGCGCCTAGCACGACGTGAGCGAGGCATCCTGGGAAGGAATTTGTTTCTCCATTTTTGGCAGCTGAGTGGAAAATAAATTATTTTAAAGGTTTACGAATAAATGGTGCATTAGAGATGGAAGAACGCTAAGTGACTGAGTTGTTCAGACTAACACGTAATATAATCACCCTATCTTTTAGTGGAATCTTTTCTACTGAGTCGGGAGCAGCAGCACTTTTACTTTATCGTCAGGTGGGATAATCCTTACCTGTTTCTCCGTTTGGAGAACAGCTAGAATATGATGATTGGAGTATGCATGATGCGTGATTAACGTTTATGCGTAATCAGGGCTTGCAACACTCTGATTGCTCCTATCTGATTCTTTCTGACGATCTATTTTACTTTTTTTCTTTTTTAATTTTTTAAATGTGATATACAAACAGACTTACGAGAATTTTGTGTTTTTTTTATATTTTACGGTTATGTTTCTGGCTGTATTGAGGTGGACTGCGTAGTTTTTTTTTTTTTTTTTAGTGTTGGGAATCGAACTCAGATCCTTGTGCTTGCAAGATGGGTGACGAAACCGTTGGTTTACATCCCTGGCCCCAATTATCATTACGGGAAGAGGGGTGGTTTTTTTTTTTGTTTTTTTTTCAGAGAGGTACTTCTTCCTGTGGTGGTTGGTACCCATACCTAGAAACCTGACAGAACCAAGGTTTTAGTAGTCTGAGGAGAACACTTTCACTCGTGCGTGTCAGTGTTGGGAGAAGTTTAGAGGAAAGTATTTGATACACCTACACAGGAGTAAACGTTATGCAAACAAATAACAAGAGAGAGATCTGTGTTTTGCCATTTAGATAAATATTCTCAGATTCAGTGTGTGTTCGGAAGGTTCTCAGTACTGTATTTTTCAGCTGTGAATTTGGAGCCAAGGCCATTTCAATGGCCTTTTCATTAGCAAAAAAATAACATGTTTTCTGGCGGTCCCTTACACATAACACTACATATGTGTAGTCTTCATCTATCCATCTTATTATGATACCCCTTCATCCTTAGCGTTCAGTGAATACTTAACTGTTCCTTTACTATACAGACCACTGTAATAGGTACTGAGGGAATAGATCTGGATATGACCCTTACTGAGTTTTGCTCATTACAGATCTTTGGACAGAGACGGAAAAGAAACAATTTCCAGTACACCCAGAGTAATTTAATTGTGCAAATTGTGGTAAATGCTTTAAGCGACTTAAAGGTGTCATGGAGTAGGGAGTAATTTGCCCAAGCTGCTTCCAAAAGAGC